GATGATAGCAATCACCCACATGTCTGTCTGCACACCCACCCATCCGCCCATCTAAACAACCAGTATTTACTGAAAGACTACTGTGTGCTGGGCGGTAGAAACAGGAGCATGAACACAGGTGGAAAGCTGGTGACAGGTGAGACATGGGTACAAGCATTACAGACAAGTGCAGACCGGGAGAAGTGCAGGTGCTCCAGGAGGACATGGCCACAGCACGTGAGCTGGATGCTGCGAGGGAGGGGTGTCTCCCGAGGAGGGCAAGCACCTTAACTAAAGCTATGGTGACGTGAGGAGCGGGAGACCCAACAGCTACGCAGACGTGAAAAGACATGAAAAGACTTGGTTTGTTCCCTGATTACAGGGAATGAGAAGAGGCACAGGGGAGCCCTTGCAGCCTGGGGATATGGCGGTGCCGTCCACACTCACCGGTCTCTGTGAGCCCGAGGGGCTGGCCCAGACCACAGCTTTGACAGTGCTCTGGAGCACTCAGGGACAGAAGGGTACACGAGGGAGAGGTGGGAGTCAGAGATTTAGATCTAGAGTTAGGAACGTGTAGTGTTAGGTGCAATCATGGAGATGGCCAACATTTTTCAGAGATAATAAAAGATACTGAGTGTTTGGAGAACATGCATCTATTTTGATTGTGTGTTTTCTCTGCATGTGGAGCCTAAAGTGATTTATCAAAAATGGTTTCATTTTAGAAATTCATATGTAAATTGGGCTCTGCCAGGAAGCGTCAAACATGTCTTTCTATGTAATTACACCAACATTTTGCATTGTTAAAGTGCTCTCATTGAATGTATTCCGGGTTATGCTAATTACGCAGTTATTTAATTATTTGGACACAAGTAATGAATCAATGTTATTCTGGGGAAGAGGTACTTCTTGTTCTCAAAAAAGAGATGAGAAGTTACAGTAATTATGTCTAATTTTACTAAGTTAAAAGTGGAGCAGAAGGTCCCAATTTATTCCCAAATGGTTGAAAACATATCCATTATCTGTTTTCTTCTCTCCTGGAAAAAAAAAGCTAATCATGTGAATTGTCTTGTTTCCTTAGAGTTATTCTTAAAAGACAAGCATTCAGTGACGGGAGGATCTGGTCTCCCCGACAGTGAGTCCGTTCCTTGCACATGGCCACTGCCTGTCACCTGCCCTTTCCAAACACTCACCTCCTCACAGACCAACAGATTTATTTGCTGACAGATGTTCTTCTCAAGGACGCATGCTCAGGGAGTATTTTGTGACAGTGAGTGTGATGAAGAACAGTTGGCTCAGGTGACATTATAAATGATCAAATATCTTCACACACACACACCTTGAGAAAAGTCAGTCCAATTTCAATAGGCACATTTTGACAAGGAAATACCTTCAAATTATCAGGTTTCTCACGGGGGCTAATCAAACATAGTCTTATAACGGCATACTGGAACTGCATGCCAACAGCTCTAACGCACACCACTCACTGAGCTTTTGAGGCTAACACTCTGCTGGAATCCCCTCATGCTAGGGCACGTGCTCTGGAGAATATGGAGTATTTTAAGGACTGAAATGTGTACTTTCTCAAAAAAGCAGCAGCTGTGGCAGGATCTGAAGGAATAGAACGTTACCCCCCTTTCTGTTTAAATAAGCAACTGATACGATTTTTGTCTCTTATACCGGAAAATAATGTCCTCAGACAATAAATGTTAAATGGAAGTTAAAATGAAAAGCAAATTGAATTGGTTAGATAGAACCAAACAAGTTCACAGAAATAAAACATTTATACTATGAATGTATTTCAAGGTGGATCTTTAAAAATCACATTTCTGAGTTCCAAAGGAATGACAAGTCTTTTTCAAGAGTTACAGATGCTCTGAAACTCTGAAAGAAAAAGCTGTTTTTCTTTTTGCTAATAAATACAATATTGTCATTTATTACTTTTAAAAATCCTAACCCCATCTTGTTTTTCCTAATTATTCTCTCTTTCCATTTATCTACTTAAGGTAGCTTAACACGAGCGGCTAATTACACGGCCAGGCCACAGGGGTCATCTAACACAATCTCCTGTCACCCTGCCCACAGCCCTGAGGAGGCAAGATAAGGTACCTGCTGCGTTTTTCTCCAAAGAGAAGGGCCTATAATCTCAGCTACTAGAGCACAGTTTTTAATAAAGCACTGACTGTTCGAGATAGAATATAGGCCTTGAGTACTGAACTCCTCACCTGCTCCTTCTTTATCAGCCATGTGACTTTAGGCAAGACACTGAACTTCCCCAACCTTAAATTCTCATTTGTACAATAGGATCATAACATCTCACTGAGTGGCTATGAGAAGAACATGACATAACATATATGAAAGTGCCTTGTGGAGAGTAGTTTCTCATTAAATGTTACATTGTTCTGGAAAGTTCATTCTTACACTGAGATGAGGTTTATGTTACTCTACTACTTTCAGGAGCTACACAGAATTAGTCTTATCTCTTTGTAACCTGTAACTGCCCTTCCAAGACCAGAAGACAAGGATAACTAAGGCAAGATGTTTTTTCAAATGTCAACTATCATACTGCTTCCCACCAGATGGTTACAGTAATGACTTAGAAAAGATCAATGGTAACCTTCATTAGGAAAACTTATCGGGTCCCCAATCCAGTAAAGATTTACTAAGTGAATATAATGTGCCAGAAACTATGCTAGGGGCTAGAGACACAGTGTTTTTCCCTAGAAGTTTATAATCTGCTTGAGAAACAGATGTATGCTAATCATTGCACTATGCAGCTATATGCTAATAATGAAGTTATATATAAATTGCTAAATCAGTAAAAATGAAAACCACACAAGAGGCATCTGGGGTGGGTTCTCCACACATGGAAATTTTTAAAAAACTCAGTCATTTTATTTTATTTATTTGTCAGAGAGAGAGAGAAAGAGAGAGAGAGAGCACAAGCAGGGGAGGTGGCAGGCAGAGGGAGAAGCAGGCTCTCAGCTGAGCAAGGAGACTAATGCGGGACTCAATCCCAGGACCCTGGGGCCATGACCTGAGCCGAAGGCAGACGCTTAACCAAGGCCATCCAGGCATCCCTTAAAACTCAGTCTTGAGGACATTCATTCATTCATTCACTCGTTCAGCAAACATTTATTAAAGACCTTCTATGTACCAGATATTATACTAGGCACTAGGAATATAAAGGTGAATCTCAAGTGAGGGATCCATACTCTCAAGGAGTTTAGAAGCTACTTTATGATCATTCCAGTTCAATGGGATAATTATTTTAAAGATGGACTTCAACTTTCCCACTTGCCACATGAATGAATAACTATTTTGGGGGGTTATAGGATCTCAGGCTTTCTAAGTTGGATACCATTTCGTATACCCACCTCATCTAAAGTCCTACAAACACATTTTTTAATTTTCTTTTAAGTTTGGGTGTTTTCTCCTCCCATGCTCCAAAGCTAAGCATGTTGTGTGAATAATCTTCAGGATTTCAAACAGTTAGGACCAATGGCCAATGTCTGGGAATATGCCAGACACAGCAAAACTATGTTTAGAAGGGCTAGAAGTAAAAAAATAAATTCAAGTTGGGTCAGGAAACAAAGATGAGGTCAAAAGAGCACACCTGAGAGGCAGAGCTACTGAGGCAAGCCACAGAGGTGAGGGGACTGTGTCTCCTCCTCACACCAGCTCCCAACATTGTTTGCTACGTACAGTGTTCAGCTACTGCAGCTTTCACTGTAACAGTGTAGAAGGCTTGCAAAATGCTAGGCGAAATGGGAAAAATCCTTGTTCTTGGCTATTAACTTCCATAAATGTTTCCAGGAGTAACAGATACAAATCAAGAGGGAAAGGCAGAGCACATAATCCAAACTCTTCATGACAGTAATTCAACTTGGGGAAAAGGGTGTACTCATGACAGTACAGTTGACCCTTGAACAATGAGGGGTTAGGAGCACTGATTCCCATGCAGTTGAAAATCTGCGTATAACATCTGACTACCCCAAAAACCTGACTACCATTAAATAGGCTGTGGCTGACCAGAAGCCTCACCAATAACATAAATAGTTGATTAACCCATGTTTTGTATGTTGTATGTATTATATACTGTACTCTTATAATAAAGTAACCCAGAGAAAAAATATTAAGAAAATCATAAGGAAGACAAAATACATTTATAGTACTACACTCTTATTATCAGAAAAATCCAATACGGGTGGGCCCATGCAGTTGAAACCTGAGTTGTACAAGAGTCAGCTATCTTTCCTTTGTGTGGGTGGGTCCACTCAGAAAGCAGTTCATGTACTGTTTCTTTAAGGCTTTCAATCACTAACATGAAACATCTATCCACCACTTACTTTCTTTATTTATGTTAAACTTGGAAGTCACAGGAAGAATCCCAGGGGGCTTGTACTCTTGTTGAAGAACTCCTCTGCCCTTCCCCTCTACCCAGTTTCCATGGATATATTTTCTTTCTCTTACGTTCAGTAACTCTATGAACCATATCAAAGAATTATTGAATGGTAAATGGAAACACTGACTGATTTGCATTAATATAAAAAATTGGGAACTTTCGTTTTTCTTCACTGAAAAAACTTTCAACTAAGAATCCATATTCAACAACAGTGCTTAAGAGGAAATACTTCAGGGCAAAAAACAACTTGGTATATGTAGGTGATTCTTTTTTAAATGACTGCATTACTCAGAGGCAACCTGGAGTGGAACATGAATGAATGTTACATTAAAACCTGTAAGAGTTTGATAACATGTCTCCTTGATCCTGGGCTCGAACCTCCCCACCACCTAACTTCACCTTCCCTATCATAGATGTAAGCTACTTGACAAAAGTGGCTATTTCTTTCTCATTTTCTATACTTCTAGTATCATGTCTTATTAGCACTCGATAAATGTTTGCTGAACTAAGGTAGAATATTCAAGAACTACAGCAAGTAAGGGTGGTTTACAACATCCAATGCTATGTGTGGACTGGCTCAATTAGATCAGCACAGTTGCTGTGTGACCCCTTAACTTACATAATCTCCATAGGTCTCTTGTGTTGGGGGTGGTGGCGGAGGTCTGTACCCAGTTGGGGGAACTCCTCTTGCTCTGGGAGTGAGAAGTCCTCTTCCCCGACTCACTGGTCCTCGGGTGGAAAGGACTCCCCTGGAAGCTGGAGTCCCTCGTGGTACACCAACTCCAACTGGCCTGGCTGTGACTCCTCCCCTTCCCCTGCAAGCAAGAGGGGCAAGTTAGCAATAGTGTCATATTCTCTACCACTGCATGGTCCACATGCTTTTATACCTCAGGAAAATCAACGTTCCATGTCACTGTAAAAAGAAAAAAGGAAATCATATGCAAAGTGAAAACTAAAGCAAATGAGAAACAACTATATACCAAAAGGAAGTTAAGTCATTTAAGCAGCTTATCCAGCAGTGATAAATATTATAACATCAAAGAAACCCCAAGACTCAATTTCTGGCTAAGATACAGAGTAGGAAGCTTTGACATTGGGAAGGCTGCATCTACTGAGGATTTCTCTGTGATGCCAGGCCAGGGTCACATCCAACCTTCATGCCTACACTATGAGGTGGGCTATATTCTGCTTGTCTATGGACAAGGAAACTGAGGCTGGAGAGATCTTCAAACTGAGAACACACTGCCAGCAAAGACCAAAGTAGACATCAGAGTTCCATGAAAGAGAAAATAAAATGTACCTTCCCAAATAATGTACTGAACACATAGTAATTTAAAATACCGTTCTTAAGTTAAATAAACACAGGTATTTTCTGAAGTAGAACTCAACATATTTATGTATTTCTAACATAAAATATAAGATTTCAAGTCAGAGAGGAAGGAAGAAGGAAACTATAAAGAATAGCTCAACATAAGCAAAATCTTGAGAAAACGTGCAAGGCCTATGAAGAAAAGAAGACAGAAAAATGAGGCTACACCACAGAATAAAAATTTGGCCTGATCCACCTCCCAGAGACCACGTCCCCCAAATAAGGAGAACTGTCACAGATAATGTGGCTGTCTACATATCTCCTATCTCCTTCTTTAGTTTGATTGGGATAACAAATACATAGCTAAAAACTTAACAGAGAAAACTAACAAAACCAAAAGCTGTTTCTTTGAAAGGATCAATAAAATTGATAAACCTCTAGATATGCTAAACACAAAAAATAAACATATCAGAAATGAAATTGAGGTCATCACTACTGACCTGAAGGGCATTAAAGCGTAGTAAAGGAAGATTATGAACAACTCTAGGCCCACAAATTTGTTAACTTAGATGAACTGTACTAATTCCTTGAAATATACAAATGACCAAATCCCACAAATGGGGAATTAAGTAATCTGAAAAAAGTTATGTCTATTAAAGAACTTCAATGAAAAAGTAATAACCTTTCAAAAAAGAAAGCACCAGAGTACCTGGGTGGCTCAGTCAGTTAAGTATCCGACTCTTGATTCTGGCTCAGGGTTATGACCTCAGGGTTTTGAGATCAAGCTCCACGTCAGGCTCTGCACCGGGTGTGGAGCCTGCTTAAGGTTCTCCCTCTCGCTCTGCCCCTCCCCATCCCTCTATTTAAACAAAACAAAACAAAAAGCACCAAGTCCAGATGGTTTCACTGCTGAATTCTTTCATATATTAGTCTAGGGGAGATGCCAAAGGACTGGCCTAGCTGATATCTGACCACCCCATGAAGAGACATGTCATCCAAAGGGGAAAAAGGATGAGACCTCCTAATAACCAAAGCCATTAAAGACATTATGAAATGAAAAAAACAAAAACTATAAATCCAATCTTTTCAAGAACAAAGGTGCACAGCTCCTCAAAAAGAGTAGCAAATTAAATCCAACAATATATTAAAAAGTTATATACCATGACCAAGTGGGATTTATTCTAGGCATGTAAGGCTGATTCAACACTAGCATATCAATGTGATCTACCATATCAACAAGGCTTAAAAAAAAATCAAACAATCATAAAGAGCAGAAAAAGCATCTAACAAAATGCAACATCATTCATGACAAAAATTCTCAGCAAAGTAGGAATAGAGGAAAATTTCCTTAAGTTGAAACAAAAATCTACAAAAACCTATAATTGCTATCATATTGAATGGTGAGGGAAACTGAATGCTTTTCCCTTATGATTGGGAATAGGCAAGGATGGCCACTCTTACTACTCCTACTCAAATTTTACTGGAAGTCCTAATTCAGTAAGAAAAGGGAATAAGATTGTGTAAGACTGTGGAAGAAGAAATAAAATTTTATTTATATGACATCATTTCTATATAAAAATTCCCAATCATCACAAAATAAAACAAAGCAGGCAAACAAGCAAACAAAAACTCCTAGAGCTTACTGCACAAAAACAAGGTCTCAGAATACAAAGTTAATAACTCAACAATATATACCATATACCAGCAATGAACAACTAAAATTTAAAATTAAAACATAATTTAACAGTATTTGTTTGGGCAAGATATATACTAAAATTGGAACAATACAGAGAAGATTAGTATAATCCCTGTTCAAGGATGACATACCAATTTATGAAGTGTTTCATATTTTCCTATGCATGTGTGGGGGCAAGGCGCCTCTGGGAAAACTCTGTACCTTCCTCTCAATTTTGCTATGGACCTAAAATTGCTCTAAAAAAATAGTCTTTAAAAAAATACATAATAAAAATTTTTTTAAAAAATACAACATAATAACATCTATTAAAGCAACAAAAGAAATGAAATGTTTTGGTACAAACCTAACAAAATATGTACAACTATTCTCTGTAGAAAACCATAAAACTCTGATGAAATAAATCAAAGGAGAAATATCTCACGCTTAATGAATGTTGCAGTCAATACTGTTCAGTTGCCAATTCTTCCCATCTTGACATTTTATACTCAATATAATCCCAATCAAAATCCCCGAGAGCTACTTTGTAGACTGACAAACATATTCTGGAGAATATAAAGAAAGGCACAGAAGACCCAGAACAGATAATACAATACCGAAGAAGAAAATTTTGGATGTCTCACAGTATCTGATTTCAAGACTTATTATAAAGCTACAATAATCAAGGTAGTAAGTACTGATGGAAAAAATAAATACACAGAACAGTGGAACAAACGAAACAGACCTGAAAGTGATCCACAGAACTGTAGTCAAGTGACTACTGACAAAGGAGCAAAGACAATTCAGTGAAAAAGTCTTTTAAACAAATAATGCCCAAACAAATGGATATTCATATGCCACACACAAAAAAAAGAGAGAAAAGAACCAGACACATCTTTCACAAAAATGAACTCAAAATGGATTTTAGTCCTAACATAAAATATAAAACTTATAGAAGAAAATTCAGAAGAAATCAAGAAATCAGGGTGACTTGGGTTTGATGATGAGTTTGTAGATACAATATGAAAAGCATAATCCATGAAATAAAAATTGGTAAGCTGAACTTTCTTAAAATTAAGCCTTCTCCTCTGAAAAGGACACTGTTAAGAGAGGAAGAGACAAATCACAGAAAAGGAGAGAGTATCTGTAAAACATGTATCTGATAAAAAACACTTGTGTCCAAAATATACAAAGAACTTTTAAAACTCAACAATAAGAAAATCCAATTAAAAAATAGGCAGAAGAAGTTATAAAGATGGCAAATAACCAAAGGAAAAAAAATGTTCTATATCATTTGTCATTAGGGAATTGCAAATTAAAACATATCTATTAGAATAACTAAAATCAAAAGAAACAATATACCAATTGATGGTTGGGATGTGAAGGACAAGGTGCTCTCTCATTTATTGCCAGTGGGCATGCAAAAGAGTACAGTTACTTAGGAGGACAGTTTGGCACTTTCTTACAAAGCTAAACATGGTATTACCATACAACCCAGCAACTATATTCCTAGGTATTTACCCACCTGATTTGAAAACTTGCTTCCACACAAAAACCTGCACATGAATGTTTATTGGAGTTTAATGCACAGTGGCTAAAACAACCAAGACCCCCTATAAGGGGTGAATGGATAAGCAAGCTGGGGTGTACACATACAAAGGAATATTATTTGGCCATGAAAAGAAATGACCTCACAAACCAGGAAAAGCTATGGATGAACCTGAAATGTATGTTTCTAAGTGGATGAAGCCAATCTCAAAAGGCTATGTACTATATGACTCCAATTATAGGATATACTGGAAAAGAAAAAAAAAAACAACTAGTGATGAGCTTAAAAACAAAAAAGAACCAGTGGTAAGCACAGATTGAGGGGAGAAGGGAAGGTTGGACAGGTGAAGCCACAGAACACTTTAGGGGGCTGAAACTATTCCACAGGATGCTGAAATGGTGGATATGTGACACAAATCGTTTGTTAACACCCACAGAACTCTATAGCACAAAGAGTGAACTTTAATGTATATAAACTAAAAATATATATATTATTTAGGAAATTAAAGGCTTCTAAGAATGCTAAATGTGACAAAATATTTTAACTGCATTAAAAACATATAAAACACCTTTATGAGTTGAGGAGTAAAACAAATTTAGAGGGGCACCTGAGTGGTTCAGTCATTAAGCGTCTGCTTAATGGAAAAAATAAATACACAGAACAGTGGAACAAACGGGGGGTCCTAGGATTGAGCCCCGCATTGGGCTCCCTGCTCAGCAGGAAGCCTGCTTCTCCCTCTCCAGCTCCCCCTGCTTGTGTTCCCTCTCTTGCTGTGCCTCTCTGTCAAATAAATAAAATTTTTAAAATAAAATAAATTTAGAAATGAGTGAAGCTTGTAAGACTAAAGGCAAAAGAAATTACGCATAAGCACTGCTCTAGGTGATAGGCTTATTTCCCATGAGGAGGGGTGCAGGGATAGGTAATGATTCTGATACACTCTACACATACACTGGACTCGAGCAATTAAATGGATGGTGGATGATGGAAGCCACACTTCTTGTGTTGGAGTGAAGGTTACAGATAAGCAAGGGGAAGAGGCTAGAATGAACACAATGGTAATGGACTGGAATCTGAGACATCAGTATCAACTCTTGATTCATTTACTATAGGTACAGGCACTCACACATGGAAAGATGCACAGATGTGTATACGTACATGGGCTAGTAGTATACATATGTTTCCATGCTCCATCAGCTGACAGGGCCTGGAAGCAAGGACACACCAGCAGCAAGAAGCAGAACCAGCACCCAGATCTTGGTCTTTCACACCATTCTCCAATAAAAGG